GACTCTTGAACTCACTTTTAGAAACAGACAAACATTTTTTTCATTAAAAATGGAAAGTGACTTGGAGGAAAGCTATTCTTGCAGATCAGAACAGGCCAGGAATCATTTGTACCTAAAAAGTTCTGGTGGATTTGAAAAGAGTCAGCACTATAGAAAGAAGCCGACACTATTACCAGGGTCGGGTTTTATACCTATTCACTTTCATTTGTTGTTTCAACAATCTTGACAAAAAGAAATGTGATTAATTTGTTTCCTCCAACCTGAGAAAGGTAAGCATGTAATATTTTACTGTTACAATCTGAACTTCTCTGGCATGGAGAATGTTTGTTTGAGAGCCAAGTGATCTCTCAGATCTTTGGCATTTCTGAAATCTATGCTTCTCTCAAGGGTTAAAAATTCAGAAAAGAGAAGACAAGAATTCACATATCATCTTGACTTGAATATTTGTATAAAAAAAGACCTAACTTGTGCAAGTGGCTCTGGTAGATTTCAAATTTGAATCACTATCATTTACATAAACATAGCTACAAAGCTCTCTGAAAAGGGGAAATTCCTTAATTCATGTCTGAGATTATTGTATTGATATACCTATTGATTAAATTTCATAGATAGTGATTTTAATATATTTAAATAATTATTATTATATTGAGTCCAAATGAAAATGTTTAAATGCAAAATTAATGAACTAAGTAAAAATAAATCAGTATTTACTATAGAAACTTAGATACACTTCTGTCTTTAAGTTTATAGCTTCTTGGTAGAGGAGATGACATTTTCATCTATTTTCAATTTTGGTTTTAATGATTCTTCTAATATAATTAAATTCTAAGAAACCAACTACCTAAGTCTCATATGTAAAATTGTGTCTTATGAGCCTATTCCTAAGTGTTTTTGCCAACTCTGCATTGACCCTCAAAAACCTCAAAGCAATAAGACCAAAGCTTTCTTATTAATTCAGTTCTCTGACCTATTTACTTCTGACTCTGAATCTTCTGCAAGCACACAGTCTCTCTGTGCCTGTCTGTCTGTCTGTCTACCTGTCTGTCTGTCTCTCTCTCCCTTCCTTCCTCCCTCTCCCACTTCTCATCTAAAAAGGACCATAGAACATAGAATATCAATACTAGATGGGAACTCGGAGATTATCAGCTATAATGACCTAATTTTTGTGAATGTAGAAACAGAACCAGATTTCAGAAGTTGGAAGTACTGAGACTTGAAAAAATATATTTTGGATAAAAATGAGTATAAAACTTTACACTTAGTACTTTTTAAAATATATTGATGTACTCTTAGTTTGATCTGAGTACAACAGGACAGGGGGCTTTTTCCCCCATATTTCACTAATGAGGAAACTGTGGCACAGACAAGTTATTAACCAAAGTCTAAGCTTCACAGACTGTTACAGAGACAGGATTAGAACTCAGGACTACTGAATTTCAGGTCAGCAGTTGAGTGTTCCATCCACAATATATATATTGTATACATAGAGGTGGTTGGGGATAAATGGCAAGCGAGCATAAGCAGAGGACTTCTATAAAATCTGTCATTAATACAGAATCATGTTAAAGTGATTCCATGATTTGACCTTGCTTGCCATTGGTTTTGTGCAGCCAGTTTTCAGAGAGTACCCAGGGGAAGGGGTCCTGCAGGAGTTTGCATGTGCTCTAATTATATCTCCTTAGCAGTAATTCCATCTCCTCATAATGGGCACGTGGAGTACCTCATAGCAGTTACTAGACATGCTCATTAACCTTTCTCCTCATTTGAATTATGAACCAATCACAATACTTAGAGAAAAGGTGAGACACAATGACCCATCCTTTTTTGAAAATATCTATTAGGATTGTGTTTCTCTTGTTGTGAAATTGTCACCAAATCTTTCTCCTTTTTGAATCCTATGTTGATCTTCAGTAATGAGCCTGCCAATGTATTTCTACATTGGTATTTTAAAAATTCCTCTCAATTATTTTTTTCCCTGAATTTTGCCTCTTTAATCAGGGTAAAGACCTGCACATAGGATTTTCCTTTTGACAGACTAAAAGAAAGAAGGGGAAAAGATAGTATGCAGATACTAGGTTGAAGACAAGAAAAAAGTAACAATTTTTGATGAAAATGAAAAACTTATGTAGAATTTTGTTCCCATATTCATTGCCCTTGGCACTTTGTCATGAGTTCAGGAATGTAGGAGACCACTCTAACTTCCAGGGTCATTTCACCAACAAGATATATTAATGGCTTACCTCACACAGAAATGTTCAAGCTATTATCCTCACCTTCCAAATTACTGCCAATCAGACCATACTCAGTGTCTCATTCTCCCAGAGAGATTTGGAAGCTCAATTTAGCCTTTCCCAAATGAGAATCATTCTCATTTAAATATTCTAGGGGTAAAAAGAAGGAAAAAATAATCCAAATATAAATGCTAATAGTGCACTTTCAGTTATGATGAAATAAGGTGATATTTTTAATAGAACTATTTTAATCATAAGATAAGATTTTAATAGATGGAGGGGACCTTAAAAGACACATTTTCCAACTATTTCATCTTACAGAAGAGAAAACTGAGACTTGGAGGTTAAATGACTTGTCCTCAGTCATTTAGAAAGTAAGTCACAAAGACATTCACTTCACCATGCTGACTAATGTCTCTTAAATTCTATTATCAGGACAATGAACCCAACTATTAATAATTGAAAAACAATTATTGAGCATCGACTACATTCAAGCTAGACTAATCTACATAAAGCATGACTTTTACATTCAAGAAGTTTAACACCTCATTAGAAGCCCAGGTCAAGCATTTATACAATGGCAAGAATTTTACAAGACAGTACACATTGAACGATGAATGCATGGTACAACACTAGGTCCTGTTGCAATGCAAAGCAAGTAGAGACTTTTGTGGGTTTACAGAAGTGAGTGGGGGTCAAAGAAGGTTCATAAGAATGATCATCTTGAACCTCAGGATTACTAGAGCTATAAAGAGGGTAGGGAATACTTGAAAGCTTGCTGGATAAGAAAAATAGTGGGAACCAAGTTAAAAAAATCAGAAGAGTGTGTACTTTATAAGATAACCTATAATTGGCAGAAGTCTTAACATTACCATGTCCTTCATAAAGTAAGTCATTCTTATTTTGGGAAGGAAGGGAGGAAAAAGTATTTTTCTTAATCTATTATGTGCCAGGCATCATGCTAAATCCTTTAAAATATTTTTTTATTTGATCTTCACATTAAACCTCTGAGGTGGGGACTATTAATATCTTCATTTTACATTTCAGGAAATTGAGGCATATAGTGGTTAAATTATTTACCCTGGGTCAAACAGCTAGGTAACTGTGTAAATCCAGTGCTCTATCCATTGCCTAGATGACTTTGAGTTCCACAAGTTGTTCAGGGATCAGGACCCAAATTCAAAACAATTGACTCCCATGTCCTCAGGCTTGGGAGCCAACTCAATAAAGGACACACTGTGTGTACACACACACACACACACACACACACACACACACAGACACAAACATATATTCCATGTGTGTATATATATATGTATTCCATGTGTGTGTGTATATATATACACATATACATATATATTCCATGTATACATACATATACATATATACATATGTGTGTGTGTGTGTGTGTGCTCCATGATAATAGGATCCAGAAGGGAATATGGTAAAGAACATTACGTTAGGTGATCAGAAAAAATTGTCTTCCTCCAATGTCCCTTAATCTCATGTTTAGGGCACCAATCTGGAGCCATCTGAGTGTCCTCCTGATTCTTTCATGGGGCCCACAATATGAAAACTATTTACATAATAATGGTAAAATGATCAAATTTCTAATATGGTAAATGTTGATAGATATAGCCTGCATTAAAAAAAAAAGCTGCAGGTGGGGAAGGTCCTCAATAATTGTTAATACTTTGAAGGTGTCCTGAGAGGAAAGAGTTAGAATAATTGCTGATGGTACTGCAATCCTTGGCTCTTAAGGGTGTTTATATCCCTCTAACTGGTGCCATTATAATGATGACATAAGCACTGAGCTTATAAATATCATTTTATATTTACTACACTTTGAATGATTTCTTAATTTTCACTGAGAATCAGTTCAAACTAAATATCCTATCATCCAAGAAAATTTAAGTTAAAGGAAACATTAGGATTTTTAACATGCACTTATTAGACCTTGATTACAATAATTTCCATAGCAAATAATTACTAATTTAATTGTCATAGGGTTTTTGATGGAGTTCTGTTAGAAATGGTTTTGAAAGAAGTTGTTTTGAAATTGATCATTTATACATAAAATGTAGTGAATTATTGTAAACATGAATTTTTAATTAAAATATAGTATGTGGAAATATAAGCTGATATTTAGTTTCACTTGAAGAATCTTTGGGAAAACTTTAGTAAATAGAAATGGGGATCATACATACATTATTCAATTAATTAAAAAGAATAATACTAGATCTATACATTATAAAGAACTTTTTTCTCTTGTAACTTGGAAGTTATTAGTATTTTCTATGGCTGTGTTTATTAAAATGTTATTCCTACATAATAATTATTAGCATTATATTATTGTTATTATTATTTTTATTAGATAAATATTTTATAAGAGACAATGTGGTTTGTATAATGGTTAAAAAACAGGTTCTTTTAACCAGGACGATAAGGACTCAAGTTTGACCTCCGATGCATGTTAACATTATGATCCTAAAATTCTCATTAAACCTTTAGACATATAGGAAACTTAGTATAATTTGTAGAGAAGGTGCCAGTGATATCATGGTTTTATACCACCTCATTGAAATAAATAGTAGATATAAATATGGTTGTTCAATTGTTAAGTTAAAATAAGTTTGTAAAATAGAGATTGCTAAAGAAGGGAGGGAAAAACACACCAACTAATTCATTTTTTTTTTCATTTAAAGGAAAGGAAACTAAGTCACAGCTTAGGAAAAAGACTTCACTCTCCAAGATTCACTGTTCCCCAAGATGGGAGGCACAGTCAACATGGCAATAACAAATGTCAGCGTTGTGGTTGAATTCGTTCTTCTGGGATTTGGGGATGTTCCCAACTATGAAGGATTTCTATTTAGTATTTTCTTGCTCATCTATGTAAGTATTCTGGTGGGAAATGGCCTCATCATTATAATTACTAAGGTAGATCCCACTCTCCAAACACCCATGTATTTTTTTCTTAGACACTTTTCCTTCCTAGAAATCTGTTACACATCAGTGACACTTCCCAGGATGTTTAAAAACCTTTTGACTCAAAAGAGAAATATTTCTTTTCTTGAATGTGCTACACAGCTTTGTTTCTTTCTTATTTGGGGAGGCACTGAGTGCTTTCTCCTAGTTGTGATGGCTTATGACCGTTATTTGGCCATTTGTAATCCTTTGAACTATCCTCTCATCATGAACCAAAAGATTTGTATCTGTTTGGTGGTTGGCTCCTGGGTCAGTGCAATCCCTATTCCAATAGGACAAACATACCAGATTTTCTCTCTGCCCTTCTGTGGTTCTAATTACCTCAATCATGTTTTTTGTGATGTTCCTCCATTACTAAATCTTGCCTGTGGAGACATCACTGTGAATGAATTATACTCCTATGCTGGTGCTTTCCTATCTGCTATTGTTCCATTTCTAATGATACTTGTGTCCTACATCAAAATCATTGCCACAATCCAGAAGCTTCCATCAGCTATAGGGAGAAAGAAGGCCTTCTCTACTTGTTCTTCACACCTCATGGTGGTTAGCCTGTTTTTTGGGTCAGGTATCATTTCATATTTTTTACCAAATTCTATAAAATCAGCAGGAATAGACAAGGTTCTGTCTCTTATCTACTCCACTGTGACCCCAATGTTCAACCCCCTGATATACAGCCTGAGAAATAAAGATGTCATTATGGCATTGAAGAAATTCCTACCTAAGTGACTGTGGGTCCCAGCTCCAAATGGGGTCACACGACTGAATGTGGGGGTTGTAAAAAATTTGGCAACAGTAAAAGATTTCTGAATGCATATTAGAAAGAGTCCCTTGAACCCCCTCAGCAGGGTTGGGAAGTTAGCCAGGGCAAGCTGCCTGTTGTTCTTTCCCAGTTGCAATGGTAGGTAGAGTCTAGCTCTTAATAATGAAACTTAGTCCAGAGGGAAAGAGGAATCATTTATTAGGGTTTTTGCAAGAATCTAATGTGCCACCTGGTGGGAGAGGCACAGTGTACAGAAGTGAGAGCCTCCTCCTACCAGGGCTAGGATTGGTCCAGCTCATCTGAGTTACACTTCTCCTGAACCACCCATCTCATGTCATGTTAACTCCTCCTTCTCATGTTAAGCCCTCCCAATTGATGTGTACCTTGTTCAAAAATGGTGGCTATCTCTGCCTTTGGGGTATGTCAGTTAATATTCAATAAGCTTATTAAGCAAGTACAATGGAGAAAAGCCTCTGCCAGGTCCCTGACCCCTGTGGGTTGCAACCAGTTTAGCCTCTAGTGCTCTTTCTTAAGGAACTAGTTGTTTGCAGAATGTCTGGGGCACTTTCTGATTGGTGGAGGGATTATCCACAAGATCTTTGAAGTCCTTCTCAGAATACCCTTGTTCTGCTGTGGAAGCCTAACTTCTAATCCTTTTTCACAATGCACAATAACCAAAAATTAATTCAAAATCAAATGAGTAATACATCTGCAGTGTTTCTGGCATTGTTTGCCTATGCTGCATCATGTAACTTCCTTGCAGCTTTGGTTCTGAACACACAGCATGGGCACTTTGCACTGCACATGCAATCACACCATGGAACACCAACAAACATGGCAAGAAACACCTCTGCTCAGATTTGAGACTATTGTAGATTATGAATTGCAGTGTTTTTACTGTACATATAAAGTTGTTAAATGAATTTTGGCTTAGGATTAGGACAGAATTTTCAACAATTTCTTCTTACATCTTACTATTTCTACTTAACATACTTCTGCCTTTTTGTGTTATGTATTTATGTGAAGCAACATTCTCAGCATTGATGATAATAAAGTCAAAATATCAATCAACTCCAAAAAATTGTTGAAGATGCCCTATATCCTGCGGCATCAAATATTCTGCCAAGATTTAATTATTTGTGTAAAAATAAACAATCACACCCATCTCATTAGTAATCAAATTTGCTTTCATCTTTAATAAATGGAAACTGTTTTAAAATGTTTCTTTATGATTTATTATCAGCAAATGTTTGATTTTTATAACTGTTTTATATACCTGTATACCCAGGGTTACATAAAATCTTTTCAAGTGAAAAAGGGTCAAAAGTGGAAAAAGTTTAAGAAAACCCGACTTAGGTCATGAAACACATAGAGGAAGTGAGCAAATGGTATTTCTTCAATATATATCTCAAAGTTGCTATAAGATTTTACTCTCAAGCCTCTACTTCCTGATTTTGAAGTTTTTGTTATCCTCAGTAAAAAAGTAAATCTCAGATCTATACTATATCTTTTTTTTTCTGCCATAGCTTCATTTCATCAGTTTCTTTGTTTCATCAAGAACATATTTGTTCCATCTACAATTATCTTCCCTCAAAATATCCCTTCTACTTTGAATTAACATCTCAACAAAAGACAATCTAAAACACGCACAGAAGTTTAAGGTTATCTAATAATTCTCCTTAAAAAATAACCAATAGATGCCGAATGTTTCCCTATTCTGTTACTAGAACTGAACTAAGAGTTTCATTACTTTTTTTCCTCAAATCAAATATATCTCAAACAGATTTCCTTAACTTGTAGATATTAAATGAATCAATTGATTATCAATTATACTTCACTATGTGTGTTTTAGAGATAGATAGAAAGACAGAAAGACAAAGATAGGGGTAAGTGTATATGGTCATTCTGTATTTATTTAAAGCAAAATTAGTGAACGAGAACATTTAAACCAGTTATTATCCTGAATTCATGAGCATCAAACAGTTTGTTTTGAAGAAGAAATTGGTTTTGGCTCCCTTAAAAATCTGTCTTTTTCTAAACATTTTCTATTCCCATTGAAGGCTATTTGCAAGTATGCACGTTTGCAATTTCAGAGACCTTGATTATTAGCCTCTTTATCCCCATTAATAAACTCAGTTTCTGGGTTTTGTAAACTCAACTTCCATAGTATTTCTCCTATGTATTTTTCTCCACTCACTGTCTTTATTTTTGTTCTGTTTCCCATCAACTCTTTCTAAGACTATCAGAAATAGCCTCCTAAATTGATTATCATATAGCAACTAGGTGGTGTAGTGCAGGGCTTCTTAAACATTTTTCCATTGATAACCTCTTTTGGCAGTGTTTTGGCAGTGTTCATTGGCATCGTGTGGCATGAAAGCATGCACAGTGCAAGGTGTGTGTGCTTTGTTTCCAGAACCAAGGCTGCAGTGAAGTTGCATGATGTAACATGGGCAAATACAGCCAGAAACACCTCAGATTCACTACACATTTAATTTTGAATTAATTTTTGGTCATTGCATGTCCAGAAACATTTTACTGTTGCAAAATTTTTCACCACTGCATACAGGGTTGTGACCCACAGTTTAAGAGATGCTGGTGTCATGGATAGAATGCCAGGCTTGAGGTCAGGAAGACTCATCTTCCTGAGTTCAAATCTTATCTCAAACACTTACTAACTGTGTGATGATGGGCAAATCACTTAATCCTGTTAGTTTCAGTTTTTCTCATCTGAAAAATGAGCTGGAAAATGGAATGGCTAATCACTCTAGTATCTTTCCCAAGAAAATGTTAAATGGGGTCATGAAGAGTCAAACATGACCAAAATGACTGAACCACAAAAATTTGAATATCAGCTTCCAGTCATTCCCTTCTCCAATCAGTCCTCCAAAGAGTTGTGCCTTAAATATTATTATATAGATGTAGATATAAATATATGTATATATACATATATGTATATATATGGATTTAGACAGAGATGCATGTGTGTATATATGTGTTTTATAAAATATATAAATATATACTTATTCCTATATACATATACACAAACATGTACATATGCATGATATATATATGTGTATATATTGAGAGTGAGAGAGAGAGAGAAAGAGAGAGAGAGAGAGATGTAATTGTCAAGTTTAGAAACCTTCAGTAGCTCGCTATTACTTCTAGGAGAAAACACAAATTCCTAAGTTAAGGCTTGCAGTGAGTGTGATAATAAAAGTTATTGAGTGCCTGCTATGTGTTCAGATACTCTGCTAAGTTCCAGGGATGAGAAGAGAGGCAAAAGATAAGTCATGCACACTATTTATATGGAATGCACAAAGTCAGAAAGATGGTGCTGTGTTTTTTTGCTTTCCTTTAATATCTTCCTTTTTTTTAAAGGAAAGATTCAGTGACTGGACAAAGGGAAAGTGAAAAAAATTAAGGAATATCAAAGTAGAATAAAATATTACTCAGAAAAAACAAAATATATTATGCTTTTTAAAAGTTAGAGTGTGATAATTAAAATAAACAAGGAGTTGATACATCCATATGGATAAGACCCACCTCAAAATACACAAAAGTTAAGGACATATAAAAAGGTTTTATAACAAGTCCATTAGTCATAAATATAAAAATTGAATGAATATACAGTCCCTGAGGTATCTCTTTCTACTAACCAATATTTTGGCTATTATAGAGTAGGAAGAAATAATAGAAATGAATCCAAAGAAATGCAGAAGATTTGTATGAACAAAAAGAATAATACTTATGATTTTCACCAAATAAGTGGAAAGATCACAAAATATAAGTTCAACTCTGATTAAGGAGGACAAAAAATAATAAAAGTCCTGCTGAAGGTGTAATCAAACATACCTCCTTCCTTAAAGAAGAGGGATAGGAAATAACTCTTTTAAGAATCCAAACTCAGTCTCTATATTCAATACTCCTATTCAAATTATGTTTTATTGACATTAGTGCTATTTCAAGCTGGAATGAGGAAGATTAAAAATTATGGTGATATAAGACAAAAGATGTCAATTCAATGGCATCATTACTGAGAAGTTTTGGTTTCTATAATCATAGTGTTGTCAATTGTTTGTTTGTACCAGTACATGCAGGATGGGTGCATTTAATAAATAGTTTTCTTCCAGATTTTGTCATTGTCTTTTTCACTTTGTTTCATTCTCTGTTCTTGTTTCAGTTTCTGTCACAATTTTTCTCATCCTCTACCTTCACCTTCCCACTCTGCTATATTTCCTTCTCTTCTTCCCTGTTCCCCTCCCCTTCCCTTTTTTTCTCTTTTTTTCTTTTCTCCTCCCTCTCTCATAAACAATCATATTCACCAAATATCTCAACAGGATTTTCTTAATGGAAAACACAAAGCAGTGGTACAGGAGTACAGGATGCAGGTGTGGGGGTGTTGGTAGACAGCAATTTAAATAGCTAGGCATATACAAAGTAGAAGTGAGACAATCTTAAAAGAATATCATCCTTATCTTTTTAACAGAGTTAATACCCAGATTTGGTCATTTTGAAGTTTTATCATTACCTTTAATCCATGGTTCTCCAAGATGGGACCACATATGAGCATGCAATGTTTTTATTTGTATTATTTGTTTTGTGACAATATTCAGTTTTCAGCACCACTGTCCCTGATCTCTAATTTTTGGTTATCAGAAAAATGGCAACACATTAGCTGGTGTCACACATCACCAAAGTTCATCTCACTTTCTACCTGTATTTTTTTCTTTGCTTGTGACCTTTGTTCCTTCTTTTTGGTCTAGTGCCTATCACTGCATCCCACTCCTTTTCAGGCACTCCTGACCTCTGCCTCTACTAACATTTTCCTTGCACCTCATAAGAAACACTTTTTTTCCCCAAGTCCCTAAGACTTCTCAGAAAAAGAACCTGAAATAATAAAATTATATAATAGACATATAACGTCACACTACCATGATCCTTTACAATTTACAAAGTACTTTTT